AGGGGGAGGGCTCTGGTGCAGGGGTGGGGTGCAGGTGGTATGGGGGGCTGTGTTTTGAGAGCTAGGCTAGACGAGTACTCTGAACTGAAGGTCTTGTTACAGGGTATGAGGTCTGAAGTGACCATGACAGAAGGTTGTACTAATTTTTGTTCTGTTTGGTGCAATAAGGGGGAAGTTACTTGACCATTCAAAGCCGTGGAGCTCAGCATCTTCTGGTTTGAAAACTCCATTCCTTTTGCTGGTTGTGTCTCTATCCCACAGTTCTTCCTTTCTGAGGGATGTAGGCTCCCTTAAGCTTTTGAAATTACACTAACCCAATATGCCCAAGGAGAGCTAAAATACGCCATTACGCTCATCACAAACCTGGTGGGGACCTTCAAGCAAATGCCCGCCACGCTGGACAGCACGGCAGTTGCACCATTCTTAGGGGGAGTAGAATTACACCACACTTTTTCCTGTGTCAGGACCGTGGCGGGTGCAGTTAACGCCTCCTGGCCACAGCAGATAAAACGAGATAAAATAATTCCTGCCCTTTTCTGTGCTTATATCTGCCTGTCAGTGTTAGTGGTTGGTGATCTCCATTGCTTCAGGTCAGGTGGAAAGTGGCTGTGTTATTGCTGCAGTCAACTGGAGGATGTATTGCTTCAGAGGGGAGCTAAGCTTCCCAGTACCTCCCACTGCAGTGCCGACCCTCCTTGTGTTTCATCCCACCCTGAGCAAGGCAGAAGTCTTGTAGAAGAAAGAAATGGCACTCTTTGCAGTAGCCAATGGAGCAGGTGGAGTTGGTGAATTGGTGGGTAGTTTTAATGGTCAGTTGGTAGAATTCTTGGTTATTGCAGCAGTCTGTAGGTACCCACTGCTGTGGTTATAGATGTTAACCTAGCACACAGTTTGGAAGGTAGCCTCAGTGGTGAAATGTTTCCTTCCCACCTGTACACCACCGAACCTGGAAGGGATGTTCTCTCTGTGACTTGCCCCCATTGCGGTGTCATGAAATAAGCTGATGGCTAGCAGGAGAAAAGAGGGAATGAAATTCAGATCAGAGGCTCTTGGAAATTCTTCACTGGTTTTTAGTAACTAAAGTAACTAGTTGATGGGAGAAGCAAACGCAAAATAAAGCAGAGTTGGCACAAGCCTTGTGTATCCCACTGGTAACACGGGAAGGGTGACCAGGGAGATGGAGACATGTATCTTGTCAGCAAGAGGAACTGGCATGCCCTGAGAGATGTGGACCAGAAGCAGGGCTTGTATGTCAGGGATGGCATGTGTGCCATCTCAGAGCTTACTGAAGACTTTGACTGGGGCCTGAGCAGTGCTTTGGCCTGTTCGCTGTTCTGTAAGCAGGTATCCTCCACCCTCCTAATGCAGTCATGGTGCTGGCTCATTTTTCAGTAGCTGCGCTGACACTGAGACTTCAGGCTGAATCCACTGGGCTCTACTTGGCCCGTTGCTTTTGGCTGAATGAGACTGGGAACAGCTTTCGAAACAGCCTGAAGAGCAGGGGCTCTGGGCACCTGTGGCTTGTGGGGAAGGATGGGTCAGGTGGGGAGGGGGCAGCGGATGCTGCGGAGGGATGTCTCATCAAGGGGTTTACAAAATCCTGCTCCAAGTGCTGTAGCAAACTTGGAAGGAGGTCCCTTGCCCAGATTCTGAGCTGGTCTCGAATGTGAAGCGGAGGATTATGCCCATAGTGGATGGCTGGGGTGCTTTCTCCTTCCCTTTCTATATACTGGTGCATGCACACGCATTCAGAATTCATGTTGCTTTGTAGTGCTAGCTTTGGTCAAACTGGGATCTGCTGTAGGCAAGAACCTAAGCTGAATGGTGGGAGTTCTCTCTGAGAGAGAGAGAAAACACCCAATCCGGCTTTATCTGTGCCTTTGCAGGCAAGTAATGGCATGTCAGGCTTGAGCAGGCTTAACCCCCATGTGTTCACATTGTTAATTGTGACTGAGATGACTCTCACCTATAGCTCTGAGCCTGCGAGGATTCAGTAATTTGACCTCTTCGACTCTTGAAGTTCCTGGAAAGTTGCTGGTGTCTTGTGAGAGCCCAAGCTCCCCCCTTCCTCTTAACGTGCCCATCAGGTTGCTTTTCTTTTGCTTTATAATGTGTACAATAGGTAATAGTCAAGGTATGCATTCCTG